CTCTATCAGATTCCAGAGTTTTGGGAAGATTGGAGAACTTAATTTTCGCCCAAAAAAAAAAACGTAAGGGGTACCACTGTCGTTTTTTTTTTCGGGCCGAATTTTTGAGTTTCGATATCTCAGCTCTGGAAGGGGCTAGAGCCTCCATTTTTGCACTCAGGTCTAAGTCTCATGGCCCTCTATCAGAATCCAGAGTTTTGGGAAGATTGGAGAAACTTAATTTTTCGCCCAAAAAAAAAAAACGTAAGGGGTACCACTGTCGTTTTTTTTTTCGGCGCCGAATTTTTGAGTTTCGATATCTCAGCTCTGGAAGGGGCTTAGAGCCTCCATTTTTGCACTCAGGTCTAAGTCTCATGGCCCTCTATCAGAATCCAGAGTTTGGGAAGATTGGAGAAACTTAATTTTTCGCCCCAAAAAAAAAAACGTAAGGGTACCACTGTCGTTTTTTTTTCGGGCCGAATTTTTGAGTTTCGATATCTCAGCTCTGGAAGGGGCTAGAGCCTCCATTTTTGCACTCAGGTCTAAGTCTCATGGCCCTCTATCAGAATCCAGAGTTTTGGGAAGATTGGAGAAACTTAATTTTTCGCCCAAAAAAAAAAACGTAAGGGGTACCACTGTCGTTTTTTTTCGGGCCGAATTTTTGAGTTTCGATATCTCAGCTCTGGAAGGGGCTAGAGCCTCCATTTTTGCACTCAGGTCTAAGTCTCATGGCCCTCTATCAGAATCCAGAGTTTTTGGGAAGATTGGAGAAACTTAATTTTTCGCCCAAAAAAAAAAACGTAAGGGGTACCACTGTCGTTTTTTTTTTCGGGCCGAATTTTTTGAGTTTCGATATCTCAGCTCTGGAAGGGGCTAGAGCCTCCATTTTTGCACTCAGGTCTAAGTCTCATGGCCCTCTATCAGAATCCAGAGTTTTGGAAGATTGGAGAAACTTAATTTTTCGCCCCAAAAAAAAAAACGTAAGGGGGTACCACTGTCGTTTTTTTTTCGGGCCGAATTTTTGAGTTTCGATATCTCAGCTCTGGAAGGGGCTAGAGCCTCCATTTTTGCACTCAGGTCTAAGTCTCATGGCCCTCTATCAGAATCCAGAGTTTTGGGAAGATTGGAGAAACTTAATTTTTCGCCCAAAAAAAAAACGTAAGGGGTACCACTGTCGTTTTTTTTTTCGGGCCGAATTTTTGAGTTTCGATATCTCAGCTCTGGAAGGGGCTAGAGCCTCCATTTTTGCACTCAGGTCTAAGTCTCATGGCCCTCTATCAGAATCCAGAGTTTTGGGAAGATTGGAGAAACTTAATTTTTCGCCCCCAAAAAAAAAACGTAAGGGGTACCACTGTCGTTTTTTTTTTCGGGCCGAATTTTTGAGTTTCGATATCTCAGCTCTGGAAGGGGCTAGAGCCTCCATTTTTGCACTCAGGTCTAAGTCTCATGGCCCTCTATCAGAATCCAGAGTTTTGGGAAGATTGGAGAAACTTAATTTTTCGCCCAAAAAAAAAAAAAAACGTAAGGGGTACCACTGTCGTTTTTTTTCGGGGCCGAATTTTTGAGTTTCGATATCTCAGCTCTGGAAGGGCTAGAGCCTCCATTTTTTGCACTCAGGTCTAAGTCTCATGGCCCTCTATCAGAATCCAGAGTTTGGGAAGATTGGAGAAACTTAATTTTTCGCCCAAAAAAAAAACGTAAGGGGTACCACTGTCGTTTTTTTTCGGGCCGAATTTTTGAGTTTCGATATCTCAGCTCTGGAAGGGGCTAGAGCCTCCATTTTTGCACTCAGGTCTAAGTCTCATGGCCCTCTATCAGAATCCAGAGTTTTGAGAAGATTGGAGAAACTTAATTTTTCGCCCCAAAAAAAAAACGTAAGGGGTAACACTGTCGTTTTTTTTTCGGTCGAAATTTTGAGTTTCGATATCTCAGCTCTGGAAGGGGCTAGAGCCTCCATTTTTGCACTCAGGTCTAAGTCTCATGGCCCTCTATCAGAATCCAGAGTTTTGGGAAGATTGGAGAAACTTAATTTTTCGCCCCAAAAAAAAAAACGTAAAGGGTACCACTGTCGTTTTTTTTTCTGGTCGAAATTTTGAGTTTCGATATCTCAGCTCTGGAAGGGTCTAGAGCCTTCATTGTTGCACTCAGGTCTAAGTCTCATGGCCCTCTGTCAGAATCCAGAGTTTTGGGAAGATTGGGGAAACTTAATTTTTCGCCCAAAAAAAACCGTAAGGGGTAACACTGTCGTTTTTTTTTTTCTGGTCGAAATTTTGATTTCCGATATCTCAGCTCTGGAAGGGTCTAGAGCCTCCATTGTTGCACTCAGGTCTAAGTCTCATGGCCCTCTATCAGAATTCAGAGTTTTGAGAGATTGGGAAACTTAATTTTTTGCCCAAAAAAAAAAACGTAAGGGGTAACACTGTCGTTTTTTTTTCTGGTCGAAATTTTGAGTTTCGATATCTCAGCTCTGGAAGGGTCTAAAGCCTCCATTTTTGCACTCAGGTCTAAGTCTCATGGCCCTCTATCAGAATCCAGAGTTTTGAGAAGATTGGGAGAAACTTAATTTTTCGCCCAAAAAAAAACGTAAGGGGTAACACTGTCGTTTTTTTTTTTCTGGTCGAAATTTTGATTTCCGATATCTCAGCTCTGGAAGGGTCTAGAGCCTCCATTGTTGCACTCAGGTCTAAGTCTCATTGCGCTCTATCAGAATTCAGAGTTTTGAGAGGATTTGGGAAACTTAATTTTTCGCCCAAAAAAAAAACGTAAGGGGTAACACCGTCGTTTTTTTTTCTGGTCGAAATTTTGAGTTTCGATATCTCAGCTCTGGAAGGGTCTAGAGCCTCCATTGTTGCACTCAGGTCTAAGTCTCATGGCCCTCTATCAGAATCCAGAGTTTTGAGAAGATTGGGGAAACTTAATTTTTCGCCCCAAAAAAAAAAAACGTAAGGGGTAACACTGTCGTTTTTTTTTTCTGGTCGAAATTTTGAGTTTCGATATCTCAGCTCTGGAAGGGTCTAGAGCCTCCATTGTTGCACTCAGGTCTAAGTCTCATGGCTCTCTATCAGAATCCAGAGTTTTGAGAAGATTGGGGAAACTTAATTTTTCGCCCAAAAAAAAAACCGAAAGGGGTACCACTGTCGTTTTTTTTTTTCTGGTCAAAATTTTGAGTTTTGATATCTCAGCTCTGGAAGGGTCTAGAGCCTCCATTGTTGCACTCAGGTCTAAGTCTCATGGCTCTCTATCAGAATCCAGAGTTTTGAGAAGATTGGGGAAACTTAATTTTTCGCCCAAAAAAAAACCCGAAAGGGGTACCACTGTCGTTTTTTTTTTCTGGTCAAAATTTTGAGTTTCGATATCTCAGCTCTGGAAGGGTCTAGAGCCTCCATTGTTGCACTCAGGTCTAAGTCTCATGGCCCTCTATCAGAATCCAGAGTTTTGAGAAGATTGGAGAAACTTATTTTTCGCACTGAAAAAAAAAAAACGACAGGGGTACCACTGTCGGGGGTTTTTTTTGGGGGGGGTGGGGGTCGAAATTTTGAGTTTCTCTGATCTTCCTGAAACTCTGGATTCTGATATAGGGCCAAGAGACTTAGACCTGAGTGCAAAAAATGAGTCTCTAGACCCTTCCAGAACTGAGATATTGAGATTTTTATAGTGGCATAAATGCTACGTGAGATCTCAATGTCTCAGCTCTGGAAGGGTCTAGAGCCTCCATTGTTGCACTCAGGTCTAAGTCTAATGGCCCTCTATCAGAATCCGGAGTTTTGAGAAGATTGGAGAAACTTATTTTTTCACACCGAAAAAAAAAACGACAGGGGTACCACTGTACGACAGGGGGACCCTTCCAGAGCTGAGATATTTATAATGGCATAATGGCATTTACACAGGGAACCTGAATGTTGCACTCTAACTGTTGTCTTACCGGCTTCTGGCACCCAAGACTAAAGCAGCTTCAGTGCCTGCCGAGTATGTCCTCTCTCCTTTTACATAAGACAGAGACACAGTTTCCAACATGGAGCTCGCTGAACGCCAGTACTTGCCTGAGAAAGAGACAGAGGGAAGTATGAAAAGAAAAGATCAAGACCACAGAAAATAAACAGCACTGAGCGATTCTCACTCTGAGCCTTCAGTACTGTCTCCAGAGATTCGATCGCGTTGGCACAGGGAATCCTCTGTAATTCCTCCTCAGCTAAAGGCTCAGGCTGCAGAAACAAAAAAAATACTCACTTCATGCAATAGACCCTTTTGTATTTTGTACACAATGATTGGCAACGGAAGTATGGCGAGAATCAGCAGCGTGTCAAGCTCGGTCAAGCTACGCGAGCGGATTTTCATTATGTCCTCGCTCCAATCAACACGTTTAATCGCCTGCAGCCACAGGCGCCGCCGGTACTTCTTAAATGGCCGTGATTCTGTCGAAATCCTATAAAACTTAAGCCCCTTGGTGGAATATTGGTTAGTGCAACCGTAAACGCAACAACCAGACATTTTGAAGCTGGGAAACCGTTTTAATAAACTTTCGGAGTTGCTAACACGTTTAGAGCCAGTGGGAAACAACACCACTTCCGTTGCCAAAATGCGCGCGCAACTATTTGATCACGTGGGCTGTAAAGGGTCAGCCTTTATTTAAGTCCCGCCCCTCTGCTTCCGGCTCATGGGACCTTATTTTGGAAAAAATATGTGTGGTAGTCCATGGCGAGAGATAACTTATCTTTTTATTCCGTCTGAACTGTGCCCTGAATTACACATATGATGTTTGTCAATTTAAAAGATAAAAGAAAGTCAAAAACGTCGCAGTTTGTCATAAAACAGAAGAGTAAGAGTTTTAGTTTTATGTGAAAATCGCTCAATGAACTACATCTCCCGGGAAGCGAAACAACGAGCGAGATCCGCTGTCTGCAGTCTAGTACAAAATCCCTGAGTGTACATGACTGCGTAACGTTACGATTATAACGTAAGACTATAGAAACAATGATAGACATTAGCCTCTGTAAAGTTAGCTTCATTCATTGAGAGAAAATGTGCGCCTTTGGGGTTTGTAGTCTTTGTAATTATGCATTTTCACAGTCTTATACCTCAATGGTTTCACATCAAACGGTGACTTTCTTTACTTTAAAATGTATCTTTTAAATTGACAAACATCATAAGTGTAATTCAGGGCACAATTCAAACGAGATCAAAATATTTGTTGTCTCTCGCCATTGACTACCATACAATATTTTTCCGAAAATAAGGTCCCATCGTGGTCGACCGGAAGGGGAGGGACTTAGGCTCTCTATAGAGCTGGTAAGTCCCACCCCTTCAGCTAACCCCGCTGGACCTCTAGGTTGAAAAATCGTTAATTTAAGTGAATGAGAGAAAATAATTATTTTCTAATCCCGTTTGAATATTGCAATGAATGCGAACATATGTTGTCTGTGAATTTTTTATATAATGTTTCATGTAAAGAATGCTACAATTTAGCGGGTAGAATTTTCATACGGTTAGACTTTGTGTGAGAGCACTTTGTGGATTACAACTCTTTCGACGTGTTTGATATACATCACCCCCACTAGCACACGGATCCCGCTGTGTTATGCGGCGACGTCACATATGTGACGTGTAGTCTTTCTCGTTATGTCTATTCCAAAACTGCTAGCCAAAGAATCATACAATATACTGTCAAACTTGTTACATGAGAAATTATATAAAAAATTCACAGACAACATATGTTACATTCATGGCACAATTCAAACGGCATCATAAAATAATTATTTTCTCTCATTCACTTGCATTGACACTTTTTCAACCTAGAGGTCCACTTGGAGTTTTACGGATGGGCGGGACTTAACAGCTCTATAGACCTTATGTAGCCCCGCCCCTTTTCAGTACTGCGCTCGTTGTCTTTTGACTTCCTGGTCTGTATTTTGACAGTGATCTTGCATAGGTATGAATGACCTATAATGATAGGTATGAAAAAATTTCCCGGTCGACATTTGTTAAGACATCTGCTTTACAATGCTTATGATAAACATTGCAATGCTCAGGATAACTTTTGTTAACTCTACAATAAGTAAATCCACTTCACCAGCTAATTACTCCTCGACAGCGATGCCATAGAAATATACAGAGCGACCGCGAAACCGGAAGTTCAAAGACAATATTCTAAAGATGACGGCGCACACGTTTCTCTGGTGCATAAGGTCTATACATAGTTCCCACATGACGTCACAACATACGGGCATTTGCCGACCCGGCGCCATTGCTTAGGGCAAAACATAAGAAGAAGCAATACGAGTTGAACGAAGTGAAATGAGTTTCGTGCTATAAAGTGAAAATGGTCATCTCCTGCTGAGTCAATGGATGATAAAATCGTGCCGGAGGTTCAGTTAAATCGGGATTTTACACTATACCCGTCATTAGACTCCATATGGATGTGAGAAGACTAAGCTTTTGTCCGAACAACGACAGAGATTATGGCTGGCGAGCATAAACAGGAAAGAAACTCACTCAAAACACGCAAGAATTTGTTTGACAAAAGCACAATTGTGTTTTATTGCGAGTGTAAATAAATATAAGTTAACACGTTGCAGTTTGAATAATGTCCTGTATGAACAAAATGACGAGGTATTAAAAACATACAAAACAACATTTCCACTGTTTGATCTCACATTCCAGCATTGCAATCTCAGATTATGTCCCTAAAGATCCCGCGTATAATGTAGTTCCTCATTTATTACATTAATTAAATTGCACGCGAGTTATTTATTTTAATATTCATGCACCGAACCATGACGCCCGCATGTACATGCATATTACAGAAATCACCGGTGACTGGGGAACATAGGAATTAAGTTGTGCAGGCTATGGCTTTTTAATAGACAGATTAGCATCATGCTACTTCGCTATGATGACTTAAGTTACTTTTCCATTGATTACACTTGAGCAAACGTCACCAAACCAACCCCACGTCAATCTGATCGTACACCTCCAGTGATTTCCAGGCTTGGAATTGCTCACATGTGTAAAAACTCCTCACCAATTACCAGATAATTGTACACATGAAAATACTGTATCTGAGGCAAAGTTGCATAATCGGTGCTCAGTGCTTTTGTTGCATAAGGATACACACCATTTATGAATGAAATTTTCGCATTGTACCTCTCTATGTCTTGTTTTAATAGTCTCTTTATAATCTATTACACTTTGTCTTTTCATGATTTGCATAACAATATAAACAGACATAAATATTTGTTTGTAAAACGACATTCTCTGATGAAACGTTGTAAACGCCTATGGTAAACACAGCGGTTTTGCCCTCAAAGATGGCGTCTCCGGGGAGGTCACGTGACAATTTTTTTGCCTGTGGGAACTATGTATACCAAAGTCCTTTTAGGCAAGTCATGCCACTCGGCCGCCATCTTGGCAATGCCTCCGGGCAGCTATTTCGGACTTAACAAGACCAGGCTCTATCTAAATGAATGGGCAGAGACTCAGAACTGCACTTTCACTGGTCACCGGGGACATAAAAACTGCATACATAGAAACAGCTGTAAAATATAATAAAAATCGCTGAAAAAGTTTAATGACTTTGCCCCAAAATAAGGGTTAAAAAAACGCAGTTTTCCCACAGATTACACTTCTACTGCGCATGCGCAAGGGTTCTCTCGCTCTCTGTCACGAGTGCGCTGCACAGCTTGAAACACAGTATGTAAAGTCAAGTCAAGTCAAATATATTTATATAGCGCTTTTCACAATATAGATTGCATCAAAGCTGCTTCACAGTATCAATCAAGACAACTTAACAGTATTTGTTTATTCATGGGGAAAAAAAAGACAATGAAGTTTGGTAGAGCTGATCAATGGTATGATGGGTCATTTAATTTGAATATCCCAAATTATATATATAATTTGAATATATAGTATGTGCACGCTCTTGCTCACTCGCTTTAGATTCCGGGAGATTTGAACTAATTTGCGGGCATCAGCGAGCCTCTATCAATCTGCGGGAGACTCACGGAACTTCTGAGAGACTTGGGATGTCTGATATTTACACAACGCACACATACACAGCATATCAAATCTGCCGCCTTTTCAAACAGTAACTATTTAAATGTTTCCCAGCTTGACCGTTAAAAGCAGACGATTGGCTGTCCAGCGGGAGGGGCGGGGCATTTGCATACAACCGCCATCTTTGGTGTTACGGTTTTTCCTATACATTTCTATTGAGGATTGAGGAAGTGGCATGTCTCTATATAAATAGTCTCTGTCTACCCACGGTGTTAAACATGTTCATGTTGGCATCTGTTAGCAACACACACACCTCATTTCCCACGAGAGCACTGACACAGGCTTGAGATGCATCGCAGACGGATATGAGGTCATAACCTCCCTCTAACACCAACACCACTCGACCTTCAGCCAACTCCATTAATTTTCGTGTCAAGAACCCGAAACCTGAAACATATCACATAAAAACCCCAAACCATATTCGGTCAGTGGTAAATGTCACACCCTAAAGCTATCAGTCACATTAGACATTAGTTACAAAAACATCTCTTGATATAACAGTATGTGTCACATGAGAGCCTTAATGTGTCATATGAGAGCCTTAATGACTTGACACATTCACGAGCTGACATGGGCATATTAGTCATGCTTTAGCCAAAAACTTTTGAGTCCTAACAAAAATGCATAGTCATTATAAGTTCTTCTGCTTCCCATCTGAAGGATTCTTATTTTTATTCTTAGGGGAAATCCTACAGAGCAAGAAAATGCAGACAAGCACAAACACTCTCAAGCTCAGATAATACAATGCTCTTGCAAAACCTAGTGAGCTAATAAGGCAAAAAAAAATATTTTATTCAGTACGCAAAATTATCAATAAAAACTATTTAAATTATTTAAAAAAAAATTAAATACAGCAAGGTAATATAAAATAATAATTTTACCCAGTATTTATGTGCTAGGTATCTTCATGCTTATTACAGAACTATGTAAACATCTTAACAGTAAACTAAATAGGAATAAAAATGAGTAATATTTCATAATGTAATTAACATTAAACTTGATATACTGTATATATATATATATATATATATAAAGTTTAATGTTAATTACATTAAAACATTACATATTATGTTTAATATATAATTAAACATAACATATAATGTTTATATATATATATATTGTTTATATATACACATGTGACACATACTGTTTATATATATACAAAGTATATATATATATATGAAGAGTTCAGATGCAAAGCCTCTAAATGCCATTTGAAATTTCTTCTTTAATGATGATTTTTATCAAACTTGTATATTTAAGTTCAGTAATTTCACTTAAATAACAATTAATAGGTAATTATCATTGCCATTTAAGTGAAATCACTGAACTTAAATATACAAGCTTGATAAAAATTTTCATTCAAGAAGAAAATTTCAAATGGCACTTAGAGGCTTTTGCATCTGAACTCTTCATATATATATATATATATATATTATATATAAATCACTATCATTTGGAAATTAAAGGCACAAACTCTCTCCAAAAGTTTGTATTATTTTTAATACATACATCTTGCTGAGACCATGTATCCTGAGAGACCCTTTGCAGCTTCAAAACCAGCTGAAACCAGCACCACATTTGGGGAAAACTCATGAGCAATAGGCATAACTACGGTTCTATAAAGAGAGACACAATATTTGATTAATTGGTACATGTAGACTTAATAGTGGCACTTAAAATCATGCAGGTTTGAAACAACATAAGGTTGAGTAAATTATAACAGAATTTCCATTTTTGGCCAAACTATCTCTTTAACATAAGACTAGAATGACACTAAACACACTAAAATGACTGGAGAATATTACCTGAATGCAGCTAGATATTCTGCATCTCCCATTGGAAGACTCAGCCCTCCTGACCACGCCACATTTACATTATAGCCTTTCCCATCAGCAGATCCTATCTGCAATACATTCTGTTACTCATTTACATGCAGACATAGCAGTATGACACTTAAAGAAAGCACAGATTTACAAACATTTAAGATATTTATAGTTTCATAGATGAATATACACAAAACAAACCATGGATGGTTCTCCAGTACCATAGAATGAACAACCTTTGTCATAGTGATGGAGGGAAATACAGAGGACATTAGGATCGGAGTAGAATATCTTCTCAGTTCCATTATCATGACGAAGACCCTGAGAAAAACACAGGGGAGAGCAATGATTAATAAAAACACAAACCTTTTGGAAACCTCATTGATTCATACACAATAAAGGTGAAGTGTGTAACCTTTGTACCTCAAGAATTGGCAAATTGTTGAAGTCAAGAAGGAGATAAGAAATAAGGTGAAGTTTAAACTTAAGAAATCCTGACTAGGCACAGTACAATGTACACTATCTACTGTATCTAAATCTACATCTTTTCACAATATCATAAATGGGAGATGGTGAAAGACAACAATTCTTTGCAATCTTGCATTGAGAAATGTGATTATTTAATTGTTTGACAATTCTCTCAAGACATTTGGCACAAAGTGGTGAGCCAAAAAGCTCTTTTACACCCAAATCCAACACCCATTCATTGTGGATTGTTTCAAAAGATTTAAATAATATAACTTGGATAATCTTATTCACTTTTAATTTCCCTCTGTCCCAATTTTCTTGTAGTGTGTTGCAGCCATCAATATCAAAATTTGTTGTTCAGTGAAAAATATTTATGTTGTTCAGTGAAAACATTGGAAAATGTTTCTTTGTACTTTTGTCAGTTAAAAAAAGGTTCAAGAGATTCACATATTGTGAAATTTATTGCATTTTACAAAATGTCCCAACTTTTCAGGAAATGGGGTTGAAAAATCTCATGGTCAAATACCCTTTATCAGTAAGTGGAAATATGTAAATCCACAAAGGCAATAAAAGGGAAAGGGAAATAAATCCACAAAGGCAAATACTGTTTTGTGTGTCTTACCCAGTCGACTATAAGGATCTTTTTAACCTTTATTCGATCCTGAAGCTGTTTAGCCGCTATGGCCACAGAATTAAACATACAGGGGCCACTGTAACAGACACAATGAGAGAAATCAGTATTTTATAGTGCAACTTAGTCAGTGTGAAAAAAAAACCCTCCTGGTCTTATCGTAATTCTGACTTTATATCACGCAATTGCGACTTTATATCTAGCAATTCTTACTTTATATCTCGCAATTCTTACTTTATAACACGCAATTGCGACTTTATATCATGCAATTCTGACTTCATATGTCATAATTCTGACTTTATATCACGCAATTCTGACTTTACATCTCGCAATTCTGACTTTACATCTCGCAATTCTGACTTTACATCACGCAATTCTGACCTTATATCACGCAATTCTGACTTTATATCACGCAATTCTGACTTTACATCTCGCAATTCTGACTTTACATCACGCAATTCTGACTTTATATCGTGCAATTCTGACTTTATATCACGCAATTCTGACTTTATATCACGCAATTCTGACTTTACATCTCGCAATTCTGACTTTATATCTCACAATTCTGACTTCTACATCTCACAATTCTGAGAAATAAAGTCTGAATTGTGAGATAAAAAGTTGAAATTACCTTTTTTTTTTCATTCTGTGGTGGAAACTTCCATATAAAAGTTTCAGAGATGCACATTATCAAAAAAAGAAAAAGAAAAAAAAAACAGTAATATACAGCAATATTTACGTACATAAGCTACCGTTCAAAGGTTTGGGGTTGGGTAAAAGAAAGGAGTCTCTTTTGCACATTTGGCTGCTTTTATTTAATCGAAAATACAGGAAAACAGTAATATAGTATAATATATAATACATTTTCTATTTTAATATATTTTAAAATGTAATTTTCTCATGTGAAGGCAAAGGCAACAATGTAAAAGTCACTTTAAATTTAATTTTGATCATTTTAATGTGTCCTTGTAGCCTGGCCTGCCAGACCTAAATCAAGATGTTAGGTCTGGGAACTCATCATTGACAGGGCTCAATCAGAGGGGCGGGATAAACGGTTGTCTTTCGGATTCTCTCTGCACGAAATTGGATAGCGCTACAACCAATCAGAGCAACGAAGAAGGTGACGGCTGAGTCCCATGCGTTTTCCCACCAGCGGAGCAAGTTGATATATTAAACTTTTACCATATCCAGTCGGCAAAACTCTGAACACATCTTTTTTTTTTTTTAAATGACTCAAGTGCCGTTCTTTGTTCTGGTTTCAAAGAAAAGCTTAAGCTCAAATCATCCAGAGTCACGGTCAGCGCCGAATCGAAAGACAGCTGTTCGCCAGCAGAAGCCATTCTTTGTTTTCAAGTAGCAGTGAACCATCGCAACTCTGTCGTCATTATGTTAAGCCCGTCCGCCGACTCTATACACAATGTGATTGGCCTGACCAGAGTTTGGTTTTTACAGCTAAAACGTCTATGGAGAGTTGCTAGACCACACTGACTGCGAAATAATTTGTAGAATTTTTTAATTTTTTGATTTCTAGGCTAGTTTCCTTCCTGAATATAAGTTTAAAAAGAAGCTTCTAGAAGCTTAGAAGCTTGAAAAGTCGAACTAAATCCAAATTTCTGAATGTGTATGTTCTAGTGTATGTTAGTACTGCTACTGAAGTTTCTATCAAAAATGCTAATAAATAATATTCTACACGTTTTTTTTTTTTACCCAGTTTTTAACTTTACCCATTTTACTTTACGTGAAAGTGGCTGTGAACACCATTTCATGTTGATGTTGTAAAGTGCAACTCACTTTGTTTTAGAATGTGATGCATGGTGTCCTGAAGGGGTGACCAAAGCAAATCCATTCTAAGGATGAGTCAGAAAAAGAAGAAGTGAGAATATTTGCGGTTATAGGAGAAAGAATTGTGGACAAAAGGAATCTCACCCTTAGCTCTCCTCTAGCCACATGCAGAGCCAGCTCGATCACACTGCCGAATGCCATGTTCAGTGCTGCTGTACTGCAGGAACTATTTGATTCTTTTTTTAAGAGCCCAGAATGAAGAAAACTATGTTGCTCTGAATGAACTGACTGTAGTTCCTCAAAAGTGGCCAGCCTGCCTTTAACCCACTAAAACACAAGCACACACACATGGATGTAACTTCTCACCACTGCAATAATAGTTACAGCTCTGTGATTTGTTCAGCATTGTTTACCTCACACTGATCCCTGAGGCCACACTGCTGCAATCTTGACCAGATACGTCTAATTCTGTCACCATGTTCACGGTGAAAGCTGATATCTCCACAGTGACGCACGCTATTCAGCATATGTGAGTCATACACCAAACCTACACACACACATACATACTATATACATACAGTATACATGCATTTTATACAATATTTACAAGAGTGCTGACATTCAGTCCAACGACACTGGGACTACAATCTTCCTATCGCTCCGCTTATCCGTGTTTGTGTGTTTCGGACAGATAATCAGTCTGTCATTTAGTGATATAAATTACTTTTCTTTTCTATCTAATCTATTTTACATTTCTTTGTCAATTACCCTGTTTTCCTTCTCTCTTCCTTCTTTCCAGTGCTACCTGACTAGAAAAAAAGAGCTGTTGTCTACCCTTTTGCCAAATAGGTAGGAAAACTTCTACACCCATAATGCACTGGGCACTAGGCCACTCCTAATCTGCTCCTATTGGATAGAACGGGTTGCCAAGTTTAGAGTTTTCCCAGTGAATTGGGCTACATTTAAACTGTTGTATTCTGGGAATGTTCCCTGTTGGTTATTTATAGGTTCTATTTTTATAACCTAAAGGGAACGTTCCCATAAAGTTTCCAGAACGTTCCCCTAACCTTGAGGGAATGCTCTATTATGTTAAGAATACTTTCCTAGATCACCAATAGGGAACGTTCTTGGGAACGTTATGGGAACCAAAAAACTAACGTTCCCAGAACGTAAAACTGTTGGCTGGGATGACTGTGAAAAATGTATTTTACGTATGGGAATGGCATATTTTAAGTTTTGATATTTGGGATATGGTCTTTGGGCTGTTTTTAATTGGCCATTGGGCAACCCTTTGATTAGGTTTGATACAAGTTCGATACAACTTTCAATGATAAACCTACTCTCACAATATCTGTTTTGTTAACCCTCTGTGGGCAGGGATGCAAAAATGAAAAATATAATCCGTAGTTTTCACAAAAGACCTGGAGCTGTCAAATAAACAGTATTTTCTCGGTCCAGGTGACACAAATAAAGATTAAACTTTGTTCATTTACATAAACTACCGACATGCTTGATCTCAAGTTTTTGTCCTATTTGTACAATTTCCACATTTAATTAGTGACTTATTATAAATGATACAAAAACATTTAAATATCTCTTAGTGTTATTTTTTAAACACCCCACACTATTTTCCGCAGGTCATTTTAATGGATGTTTTGTAGTATAGTGACACCCTCTTTCCTCCTACCTGTGATGTATTTTGGTTTGCTCCTTACATTCCGGGCAAGAGGTGAGGTTAGATGTGAAGGCAGATTTCTTTCAAAGGTGTCTGGAGAGGATTGCACACGTTCAACTTTCCGGTGGTATTTTTTTTTTGCCAATCCCAATAATCTTTACTGTGCAGTTCTCTAGGGGTATTACTGCAACAGTTATCACGCGTGACTTGAGATGGAACGCTTGCTTCTCTTGCTCTCTCGCTGTCCCTTTCCAGCTTTCCAGTAGACACAGGCCACGATGGGCGAACAGGTACCTTATAAAGAGATAAATCTTGTGGAAAAAAAACTCTGTGTGTTTGCGTGCAAAGACAATTGCATTTGCCTTACCTTTTTTGGAGCATGTTGTTGGAATGTATCCTGTGGCCACCGCTGATGGTACATGGGGTGTGGAACCATAAGAGTCTGAGTGTGTATGTGCGTACAATGCTGAATAAAAGAAGGTTCCGAGTGGGTTTTGCACAAAGGCCTATGAGGCATCACTACACAATGTTCTGGGAGTGGGACTGTGAGAGAGAAAGTGCAAATTATATTATTATTATTATTTTACACTGATTTGTTTTTTACTCTCAAGATCAGTGAATGTGTGTGTTACCTGTAAGCAAATTATGTGAATAAATGTTAAAGACCGGTTGATGCAGTGGCTGTAAATGAGCGGGAGACAAGAGGATGGGGTTCTGAACGCCAATGTGTAGAGGAGATTCATCCTGGGGAAAAGTAGCAGCAATCAGCAATGAGCAAAGTGCAGGCTTATCATAGCATTACCAACTAAACTTACCGTTCAAAAGATTGGGTCAGTATGATTTTTTTTTCTATTTTTAAGTAAGTAATTAATACTTTTTTTAGCAGGGTAAACAGTAAACACATTTATAATGTCACAAAATATTTCTATTTCAAATAAATGATAAATGTTTTCGGACATTGATAATAATAATAAACAAATATCACAGTTTTCAACTGTGACAATAATAAGAAACGTTTCATGATCAACAAATCAGCACATTAAAATAATTTCTGAAGGATCATGTGATGCGAGATTGAGTATTGATGCTGAAAATTTAACTTTGCCATCACAGGAATGAATTACATTTGAAAACATACTAAAACAGGAAAAGGTTATTTTATTTTGTAATAAAATTACATTATTACTGTATTTGAAGCATCGGTGAGCAAATTTGACAAAATTGTATAAAAGTTTTTTCTCAATTTAAAAACAATGTTATGACGCTTTACATCAATTAAATATTAATTATTTTAAAAGCAATAACGGACCTTGTATGATGATGCAGGATAGGTATGTGGCTCTTGATGGCTCATCCTTTTATCTGGCCAAAAATGCAAACAGCAGGTCACTACAGGATCTTTGCTTTTTTTCTTTATGATAGAGATGAAAAATATGACACACACCCAAAAAATCAGATGATCTGACAGCAGGGGGCGCACTGGTTTTACACTGCAGTGGGTTCTTTCTCGAGTTTACACTTCTTTTTGGTCGCAGCTTTAGAATAGGCTCTGAGACTTCTCACAAACACACACACACACACACATATGTTTACAGTATAAATACATGAAGACTATATTTGTTAAATAAGCTCTTCAATGTTTGCTCATTTCAAGCTCACATGTTAATTTGAATGTGTACATGTGTCACCTGTTCTTCTTAATGGATTGTCCTCCTCAAAATAAGAGTCGGGTGTGTTGGATGCACGCAGCTGTTGTGGATCCTGGCTTTCAGATTTCCTGAGAAAGAAGAAGAAAAAAAAAAAAAACTCAATTTCACAATTAAAATGCAACCTACATGTGTAGTACACAGTTGAGGTTATAAGTATCCCCCCCCCCCCCCCCCCCCCCCATGGCAAATATGGCCAAATACAGCTGTGAAAATAAATCTGAATTGTTTATCCTTTTGATCCTACATTTAAAAAAAAAAAAATCCCAAAAATTGAACCTGTCATTGAGGCAAAACATTTGAAAGTGGGAGAAAACTACATTATGATGTTTTTACGAATACATGTTAGGCTGAGTTAGTAGAACCCCTAGAAATTCTAATGAGTAAATTATCTCTTAAGTATATTCCCATGCATATTACTTTTTTTTTACTAGGAACATGAAACTTTGTCCAGCCATGACTTTCTGTTTCACAGGAGTATATATCCTAAATGTAACCCTGGACCACAAAAGCAATCTTAAAGGGATAGTTCACCCAAAAATGAAAATTAAGTAATTAATTACTGACCCCCATTCTGTACCAACCCCGTAAGACCTTCCTTTGTCTTCGGAACACAAATGAAGATATTTTTGATTAAATTTGAGAGGTGGATCACTGCTACATAGGCTGCCTGGATTGAAACTTGACGGCCCAGAAAGTCATTGAAGAAAATGTTTAAATATTCCATGTGCCTAGTGGCTCAACTATAAGTTTATCAAGTGACGAGAATACTTTTTGTGTGGAAATAAAACAAAAATAACGACTTTATTCGACTATTCCTTTTCTTCCTGGAAGGCCTGAGATGAGACTTTCCACAACGCATGAGCGAGAACTGAACAAGAAGTAGAAGATTCTCTTGAATTCTCGTCTCATGCCTACAAGGAAGAAAGGGAATAGTAGATGTTTTGTCAATGAAAAGTTCGATTTTTATGATTCAAAAAAATAAGATCAAAAGGATAAACTATGCAGATTTATTTTCATAGCTTGCTTTGCTCTTATTCTTTTACCAAGGGGATCAATATTTCTGACCTCAGTAAGGAGTAAGGAGACAGGTTTTTATTGTTTGTAACCTGATCAGCTTCTTGCAAATATGTTGATATAGTATTCGTTTCACCTGGTCACTGGCAACGGCACCTGCCAATCACAACAATCATCAAATCACACCACAACAGACAAATTATGTTTAGAAACACCATACGGAATTACAGTATACAACAGGGTCAGAAAAATGCAGATGAAAAATGTCAGAGCACAAAAGAAATGTTTATCTAACATTTTAAAAATGTCATAACAATCTACTCGAGGCCTGTATGGGTTCGGACACTGCAAGCATTCTTGTTGCGATTTAATTCGTTTTAGAAATAAATGGACAAGCCATTCTTTTACATACAGAAACAAATATTTGCCCCTAAAAAATCCATCCAATGGTCCAAATATCAACCCTTAACAAAAAAAAAAAAAAAACACTTTCTGACACCAGTATACAATACAAAAATGTATATTTGTGGGGAAAAAAAAGAAAAACATGCGTATACTCTGTTCACTCTTCTTTTTATTCAAAGGGTGATTAAATGGCTGTTTTCCCACTTGTGCGCTCTCCCTTCCTCTCTCCAGCTTCCTGTGCGGATGTTGAGACATCTGAATAATGAGGATGAGACAGAATATCAGTTCTGAAACTGGAATATTGAATATCAATGGTTCCAGAGCAGGCTTGTTTCAAAATGAAACTGCAGTATGCATGCTAACCAGGGGTTTTAACAGTGAGGGTCTATGTAAGGCACTATGTGGGAGGGTTGGGTGTGCTATCCTTTAAGCCAAAGGGCCTTAGTCCAATAGGTTCAGCAACTGGACTTACTTTACCCCCTCAACAACAGTTCCCCTAGAGCGAGAAGACATTAAATGGATTTTCAGTTTCTGTAGTGCCCGTATCTGTTTTTTTTTTTTTTATGAACTCAACATACCAAAACATCATCACCATTTCGTTGTATGCTACCACAGAAACCATGCTGCACTCAATCTGGGCTGGATCACTATGGTAACACTCCAGCTGACAAGGAAGTGCTCTATTAAAACGCACATTGAAGAAACCCATCCACTTCCTGAAGCCAAAATTAGAATTGTTTGTCTGATTTAGGCGGGGATTTATGCAAGTATGGTATGCTATTCTCATACTAGAATTTGCCTGACCTATATTTGACTTAAATGGCTCTTGGGAAACGTTTAAGTCAAGATCATCAAAATCAATTCAAGATCATCAAAATTCAATCAAAATCATCGCAATGCAGAACAAGTCTAACTTCCAAAAGTTCAGGCTCATTTTTTGTAGCTTAAAAGCTTTTTATTTTTATTTAATTATTTATTTATTAAACTTTAAGATATAAGAATAAATAAAAGCAGCTGAAAGACTAAAAAGTGCAAATCTCACACTTTAAGGGTATACACACACATAGCAAATAGGTGATTGACATGCTTATATAGGCCTATATATGTCAATACTAAACTAATTAAACCAAATAATCTAAAGTCTGACCAATAGTTCATCGAAAATGAAATATTACACTTCCACCTTTGATAGAATACATTTTATTATACTTGACCTGTTAAGTTACAATAATATTACATGAAGCCTGCGATGGCAGATATATCAGTTGTGTATATGGTAACTGAACATAGCAAATAAAGTTTAAACACATGCAGGTCTCTTACCTGTCACATCAGCATAGCTTTTCCACCTCTAACACGTTTCCAGGCACCAAGTGTTCATCTAAAAATGACACATAACATGCATTTGCACTTTCTGGCTGGCCACTTCAAAAAAAGAAAAGCAGAACTACAGAAATCAAAATTCAAACCACCTGCAGACAACAGATAGCTCCAAAGGTGTGATTTTGTTGAGTGACATCTAGCTACATTTATGTTCACGCTGTCAACTCTGAAGCCCCTCCTGTTGAGCTTCCTCTCTTCTCACAACATCAACTGTTGGTTGCTTCTCTCTACGAACAAATCTATCAATGATTTCATTTGGCATCCAAGTTGTGCATGCGAATGATTTAGCTTGCAATTTAGCTTGCAAAATGGTTTGCTGCCAGTCACGTAAAGGAAGACACTGTATTTGAAAGATAAGGAAGGCAGGGCACACGCTATTATCTGGTGCCACCCTTACCAACTAAATGTACGGTAAAGGGTTATTTTGGGATGGAAAGTCAAAAGACATTCAAGTGAGAAAAATAAAAGCGATGCATACAAATGCATGCATTTGAATACATGTTTTACCAAATCACTAAATATATAGAATCCGGTAAATGAACAGGAGAGACCAGCGATATATTTAGCATTTCAGATCACACACCATAACATGTTTACATGTCAAGCATCAACACAAACATGTTGGTTCTATTATATTAATGAGGACACCTCATAGACGCAATGGTGTCTATACTGTAATAAAAATGCTGATATTTGCCAAGCCCAAACCCACACAAACCTGTTGATATAATGCAAAACATGATTTGGCTAATTTAGGAACTTCCCATATAACGAGGAATACTTAAAATGTCCTCAAAACGTCTTGTTTTATATTATTTATGAAGACATTTTCAAAAATCTGGAACTCCAAAATTTGCCCAAAATTTGCAAGATTTTAGGGCAAAACTTATTTTCAGTTATTATTATTTGCAAATTGCAATTAGACAAAAAGTGCTACAACCATTCTGGGCTGCATTTCTCAAAAGCATCATAAGCCTAAGTAGATTGTAGAAGCATTGGCTCCTGATGCTCATGATGCGTTTGAGAAACGAAGACTCCGCTAAAATCAAACATATTGCAAAATGTGTTCAATAGAGATACTGAGATATATATTCTACTAAATTCTACTAAACAATATTCTTTATATTGCAAACAAATAGTGGGAAAATTAATATTTAAAAACAAAACCCCAATTTGGTTTTCTGTATGCAAGAACGGAAGAATTCTTTATTTATTTCATCCTTGATTTTTCTCAAATTTTTAATCACTGACTTTTTCTCTGGGCTAGTTAAATATTGCAAGTAATTTAGAAGAAGTTTGTGGTTCTGTGGCTTTTTGATCAATTGTCACCTCTTGCACACTAATGATTTGCTTCATATTCTTCACCAAAATTGGACAGTTGAAGACTGGAAAAATCAATTTCTCAATTTCTGTTGAGACATTCAGATGGTAGAGTCAGAATTTGGCGTAAACAGAGTGAGAACATGGATCCATCATGCCTTGTTACCACTGTGCAGGCTGCTGGTGGTGGTGTAATGGTGTGGGGGATGTTTTCTTGGCACACTTTAGGCCCCTTAGTGCCAATTGATCAAACTATTTGTGATCAACTTTGCATGACGATATTTAATGGCCCTCCAATTTGTACATCGGAGCTCAACTTGCATATAGTGTTTCTGTGAGTGTCAATGTATGTGTCTGTGTTTGGTTTTGCACTGCTCTACCGCTTTACAGGAAGCTTTGACCTCACCCCCCTTCACTGAGACATTCTCATTCTTTCTGTTTGTGCGCTCTATCCAGGTTTGTCTATGTAGATACCTGGGCTCTTTGCTGAGACAGCAGAGAGGACAATGTGGTTTTACTCAGAAACATACACGAGAAGGCTGCCCCATATAAGAACAACCCCAGGCCACTTGCACAACCACCTGCAAATGCATCCCCAATCTCAGTTTCAAAATGAGCCGAGCCCATGGGTGTCCTCCATGTTTTGAAAGTAAAAAACACTGAACTATTTTGTATGTTGTTTCAGTAAATACCTGTGCTGACCTCACCACATTCCTTTCCATTTGCCCAGATCTGTGCATCCGTGTCTGTGTTTGTGTGTGAATGACATTTCACTGACTCTTTGACATTCTGAGCATGAGCTAAACTGAGGAGACACGAACCAATGGGGGTTTTCGACATGATGAATGGGACTATTGAGTTTAAAGGGATAGTTAACTTTGAAATTAATTTTTGATATGTTTTAGTTTACCTCAAGGGCATCCAAGATGTAGGTGTCTTAGTTTTCACAACATTTTCAATTTTGACATTTTTTGGTCAAACCGTTGTTGTCTGTCAGTCATATGCAGGAGGAGAAGGACTAATTTTCAGACCGAGTCCTCAAGATTTTTTTTCCAGCGCATTTTTTTTTTCTGTTCATATAAACAAAAAACACACAACACATAACAACAATAATAATAAAATGCAATGTTGACGGGCATTATTTGAAAATGCAATGCAAAGACCAGCAACAAGTCTGCCATCATCAAATTCGCCTTTCAGAACCACAAAACGTTGGTGACAATACACCTGCATTATATGACTGACAGACAAGAACGGTTTGACCTAAAAATATCAAAATTGAAAATACTGTGGAAACAAAGGTAAGCTAAAACATACCAAAAATGTATTTCAAAGTGAACTATCCCTTTAAGACGTTAAGACGACTGCTCTAAACAATTCCTAATCTAGCTTAGTCTGTAGGCCTAACTGTTAATTATTAACTGGGGTGATATTATCAAAACTGATTTGTCAGGACAAAATCTCGACACGGACTTGCTTCCTCAAAGATTCGGCCTTGACTCGGATTCGACCCTTCAAAGACTCGGTCTTGACTCAGACTCGACTGTATTTGAAAACCAATGGACTAGGTCTCGACTCGGACTCAACCCTTCAAAGACACTTCTTTACTCGGACTCGGCATAGTCGGTCTCGCCCCCATCACTAGTTTGTAGCATAAAAAGTATTGGTAACACTTTACAATAAGGTTTATTAGTTAACATTCGTTAACTACATTAGTTAACATGTATTGTACAATATGTGAACAATACTTCTTCAGCATTTATTAATCTTAGTTAATATTAATTCCAACATTTACTAATACGTTATTAAAATCAAAGGTTGTATTAGTTAACATTAGTTAATGGACTGTGAACTAACATGAACGCACAATGAACAGCTGTATTTGTATTAACTAACATTAACAAAGATTAATAAACACTGTAACTAATGCATTGCTGATCGCTAGTTCATGTTAGTTAATACATTTACTAATGTTAACTAATGAACCTTATTGTAAAGTGTTACCAAAGTATTTATGATTTATGACACTTTAAAATGATTATATTAGACAGAATTATATTTCAGATCTAGACAGACTAAGTTGGTTCAAAAACACTGTCCCAAATGTAATGATGTGAATAGAATGTAGACTGTGTTTTAGGCAAACACCTGGTTTGTAACACTTACAGTAAAGCTAACCAAATTCTCAGTAGGCAGTTGATCTTCTTCACCAGGAAACTCATATCAGCTAGGGCACACTTCCAAGGAAACCACAGTATTAATACCCAGACAGAAATAGAGAGGGGACAGAAGTTGATGCGACAGCCATTCATTTTCAGGTTTTACTGAACTTTATCTAAAAGGCGTACAGCACCACGCCCTGATTTAGACCCATGTTTGCACACTTAAACAGATACACGCACACACACTACTCTTTTAGGTCAGCATGCCCAAAGAGCATTGCATTCTGTGAATTTCAGCAGAGACGCAGTGTTGGGTGTTATGTATTATAAGTATAAACACTTTCCCCACAATTTATTTTTCTCCTGTTTTGTGGTTAGCCGCAGGGAGGTAAGATTATGTTGATTATTTTGTCCTGTTTCTTTTCAATGGGCAAGTAAGAGGTTAAACTATTTAGCTGGCTACTTTTATTTTTGTTTTGGCTTTTCCCACTCCTGAAGCTTTTTGTTGGTCTCCTAGTCATTTTATGTTTAAATAAAACCTCCCTTTAATTATATCTCCTGACCTGAGGGTTTTTCTTGTTTCGGAGCAGGAGTAGGATATGACACTTACCATGACGACCATGAGCTCTACTTTCTAAACCTGTGGTTTACTTTCTAAATTCCTTGTGAGGGTCTGACCGGGAGCTGTGGTGGAGCAGCTTTGTCAGACTATGTAACAGATGATGATTCAAGCCTCCCATGTGAAGGACTAAAGAAAGGCCTGGAGAGACACACTCACCTAAAAGATTATTAGGTACACCTGTTCAATTTCTCATTAATGCAATTATCTAATCAACCAATCACATGGCAGTTGCTTCAATGCATTTAGGGGTGTGGCCCTGGTCAAGACAATCTCCTAAACTCCAAACTGAATGTCAGAATGGGAAAAAAGGTGATTTAAGCAATTTTGAGCGTGGCATGGTTGTTGGTGCCAGACAGGCCGGTCTGAGTATTTGACAATCTGCTCAGTTACCGCGATTTTCATACACAACAATTTCTACGGTTTACAAAGAATGGTTTGAAAAGGGAAAAACATCCAGTATGCGGCAGTCCTGTGGGCGAACATGGCTTGTTGATGCAAGAGGTCAGAGGAGAATGGGCCGACTGATTCAAGCTGATAGAAGAGCAACTTTGACTGAAATAAGCAAAGCAGCAAAGCACTTGTGAAGCCACAACACGCACAACCTTGAGGCGGATGGGCTACAACAGCAGAAGACCCCACCAGGTACCACTCATCTCTACTGCAAATAGAAAAAAGAGGCTACAATTGGCAAGAGCTCACCAAAATTGGACAGTTGAAGCCTGGAAAAACGTTCCCTGGTCTGATGAGTTTCGATTTCTGTTGAGACATTCAGATGGTAGAGTGAGAACATGGATCCATCATGCCTTGTTACCACTGTGCAGGCTGGTAGTGGTGGTGTAGTGGTGTGGGGGATGTTTTCTTGGCACACTTTAGGCCCCTTAGTGCCAATTGGGCATCGTTTAAATGCTACGGCCTACCTGAGCATTGTTTCTGACCAGGTCCATCCCTTTATGGCCACTATTTACCCATCCTCTGATGGCTACTTCCAGCAGGATAATGCACCATGTCACAAAGCTCGAATCATTTCAAATTGGTTTCTTGAACATGACAATGAGTTCACTGTATAAAATGGCCCCCACAGTCACCAGATCTCAACCCAACAGAGCATCTTTGGGATGTGGTGGAATGGGAGCTTCGTGCCCTGGATGTGCATACCACAAATCTCCATCAACTGCAAGATGCTATCCTATCAATATTCTAAAGAATGCTTTAGCATCTTGTTGAATCAATGCCACGTAGAATTAAGGCAGTTCTGAAGGCGAAAGGGGGTCAAACAAAGTATTAATTTAGTATGGTGTCCCTAATAATCCTTTAGGTGAGTGTATAGAAAAGGCCTTCCTCTAATTTTGGAGACGGTTTGAAATCCACTACTCATCACTTAGCTACATTGGTTCAGACTCCCCTCCCTTCTCCTCCTGGGATCGGGGTAACGACCGACCATCTACTCTGAGCACAAATAGGCACCTCTTATCTCCTGTTCCCCGCATGGAAACGAAAATCAACCTACGTTCTGCTAACTATCGTCTTGTGACTGTGCGCCCTGATAAACTCTATTCTCTCCTTATTCTCTCTCACACCCACACCCATACTCACCACAATGAGTTGAAGGTACTCAGGCAGATGGAAAAAAAACATGTCTGCTTTGTATAAGATATATGAGAGATGCTCAAAAGATGAAATCTACCACTCACAGTCACAAAAAACGTGCCAATCCAGCCAATATTGGTTGAGTAGCTGCTCTCATAGATCTCATTTCCTCAAAATGAAAGCAACTAGAAGACTTGCGCTGCGTCTGAACCATAGACTGTAAAAAATATGGCCAAAGCGTCTGTGATGTCACCCATAGACTTTCTGAAGAACAGTTTTGAGGCTCTTTATGGGGGGGTATGGGCGGCGCCATATTAGAAATATATCTTGAGAAATACTAAATACAAATGTTCAGAAAGGATAAAGAGGTGGTATCATGTGTTGTGTCAGATCATGGCTGAGACGTCAAATTCCACTCGGTGCAGCCCGTTATCAATCAAATCAAAGTTAATTGTTAATCAAAGTTAACCGCCCATATTTGTCATACATTATATATCTAAATACGATCTAAACTAACGAGTTAGAAAAAAAAAATCACCCCCCTCACAGTTGTCAGGCACTCGGAACATAACGAAAAAAACAATAAAAGTCCATGGGGCCAACCTGTCAAAGCATATGCTGTGAAAACAGACATTTTAACATGGGATCTATGGATATTTGCTCCCTTTTGGGACCTCTCTCTAGCAGATTTTAGATGTATTGCAGCTTTTCGCACTTCCGGGTAGGCTTGCATGCTTCTTGCATGAATACTTCCATATATATAATTCGGAAAATGGTAGGCAAAAACAGTAGTGTACAAATTGATATTAATAGTTGAGGTAGGTAAAAAGTACCTGGATCACCTACTACTTCTGTCAAGTTTTTGGTGGTGCTGGTGCACATTCGAAGGACACTTTACTATGCCACGATGACAGGGGAGAAAATAGGCATATTCAGACAGAGCGATTGTGTTTAAATCATTAACTGTAGATGGAAAAAAAATCCTATAAAAGGACCGCAAGTCCGCAACCTGAACTAATTGGTATTCAGGATGACAAGCTGCATCCAAAATCCCTCTCTGGGGTATATTAATTACTTTGTGACCATTAAAAGAGTATGTTCATTTCACTGCCATTCACAGATCCTCTACTTTGGCCTCATGGGATAGTAAAGTGTTCAGTGGATGCTCACTTCAGAAGCAACAGGTCATCTGGGTACTTTTTTCCTACTGTTTTATAGATACTGTTAATTCTGACATACTACAAACCTTTCACTTACCTTGTTTGCCTACGATATTGGAGTAGCATGCATATTCAGATGATGTTATAACATTATATTGATGATATAGGTCTGCCATGCTGGAAAGGTCACGAGCCACCTACGTTAAACACAGAAAAGTAAATTGAGTCTCTTCCAAACGATTTTCATAAGGTTTGGTTTGCCATAAATTCGGCATATTCCAGATAACATACAACTCAAAATTAAAAAGAATGCTAGTGACTAAGGTACTAATTAAAACTAGAGTTCATAAAAGCAACGAATTAGAGAAAGTAACACACAAAATATTTAATCATATAGCTATTTGTTTAAACTGTTTCTAAATTAGAACATATATAAAGATCGTATAATTTGCTCAGTATATTCAAACCCATAATCTTAGCTTCAAATTAACCTTCGTGTGGCGTTCCTTCCCTTCCTGAAAAAACGCCGCAAAAGAATCCTACTTATTGCAAAAGGGATAGTTCACCCAAAAATACAATTTCTGTCATTTACTCACCCCTATGTTTTTCTAACCCAGCATAAGTTTCTACCAACATCCTTCAAAATATCTTCTTTTTAGTTCAACAGAAGAATGAAACTCCTATAGGCCTATAACCATACTTTGGAACAACTCAAGGGCAAGTAAATGATGAGAGAATTTTTATTTTTTGGGCGAACTAACGTTTTAAAAAAATCTCTAGCAAACCTCAAATAAAGTTCTCCAAATAAAAAGAAAGAAAAAAAAAGGAAACATTTTGAAGACTATCACACAGCCAATCAATTTATTATTTGGGTTAATAAGGCACATTGTACTGAGGCCTCGATCCTCTCTGTTGCCATTCAAAAAGATCTGCAGAACTTTACTGGCAGCACTGTGTTAAGATTGGCGACCAGGGCCAGAGTTAATGCTGCTGTCGATGTTATATTTTTACAGTTTTACAGTTTTTACAATCACTTTGCTACTACTATTTACAGAACCTTGATGTCATTTTTCAAAACTATAGACACAAAACTCAAAACGGTTACCACTTGTAACACAGGCTGTCTAATGTTCAAAACATCGCATTGTGCATTCACATCTTTAAATAAATCTTGCACTTGCACAATCATTGGTTCAAAAAACAAATTTTATTGTGAAATACCATTGAAACATAACTAGATCACCCACACGCAAGCAACTGATAGTTTCACTGTGTCATTGTTCGTACAATCATTAAATATTGTAGAACAAAATAGGTAATACAAGTTTCATTATGAAAAGTACTGCAGTAGAAGAGAGAATACAGACATAGTGGAATCATTGAACAAAGTGTGTGATATATTGATGCAAAACACTACAGTACAATCACAACAGAGGTTTAATGGAATCAAAGCAAAAACATACAATATTATGCTACATCCATGGATATTGTAGTCGAATTGGTTCATGCTTCACGGTAATTGGTGACAATGAATCTCTTATCTTGAAACTTTCATGATTTACTGTAATCATGGAAGATTGTATGTCTGTTTCCATACAACTATGCATTAAGAGGACTGCAACAGTTACTTATCATTTTGAGCAGTTGTATCAATTGATAGTTAGATCTTTGCAAGGAAATGAATAGACACTCATTTGAAATGCAATGTGTGAATTGTCTTTTGAAATAGTAGTACTTTGATGTTAAGTTGTGTCACATTGAACTGGTGATTTATGTTGAACGAACAAATGATCTAAGTTGTATGTGTATTGTATCCAAGCAATTGAGAAATGGGTTGAAGTTTTGAAAAATGTACATTTTATCATTGGTTGTGAGTTGTGTGTCTAGAGTTGTGAAAAATTACATCAATGTTCTGAAAATAGAAAACAAAGTGATTGTAAAAAACTGTAATGTTGTGAAACATTCAATGTTTCAGTGTTGTGACAAGTAAAAGTGACAGCTTAGCAGTTAGCATATTAGCATAATCTGTTCCACAGGCCGATTGCCTCAGTGTGTACTGTCTCCATCTAGTGCCCAAAAAATAAATTCATATGGCCTTAACATAACATACCTAATGGACAACTTTAAACGTTATATGTAATGTATATTACATGGGCAAATTTGCTTTGTCAAAACCGGTTTGAGAATTTTAAATGAGTCCTTTCTAAAAACAAAAATAGATCATTTTGCTAGAATAAGCATACCCCACCCTCCTCTATATGTCAAAATGATCAAAGAAACTAGTGTTTATTATTATATTCTTTTATTGATTTGTAAAACATTTGACCAATATTACATGAAATCAGGAACATGAATTTACAATACTTTATGATGGAAAAAGAAGAGAGAAAAAAAACAGGCGTTTTTAACCGTTTCATGAATGGTCATATTCAACTGGTTTTGTCCTGGTGAGCAGGCATACTACTTGTTAGCCTGTAAACAGCTAGCATTTGCATTACAGTTTTCTTTATAGTACCCATTCACTCAGAGACAGAAGTGCTTCAGCACTTATGAGCCATTTAGTGCCACAAACTTTCTATTGATCTCCTGTCCTATGGTGCCCAGACAGAAGAGAGGTAGAGAGCATGTCTCTCTTCAATAAACTCTTTGTCAGTTGACTCTGTCATCAATTCGAATCCATCTTCTACTCCATTTTAGGATTGACCTGGCATGAGGTATTGACCATAGGGCGTATATATGCGAGGTAATGTTTGACCATGTGTGATTGGCATGGTAGATGATGTCCACTTGACAGATCACCGTTTAAAAAGAGAAAAAGAGAGAAGGCCATGCTCTGTCATGTTTTGTGGAATATGTTTTTGCGGAGCAGCAAAATCCAACTGAGCAGTCAGAATAAAGAGGGGGAGGGGCCTGAGGATGGCCAACCAATCCCAGCAGCAACTGAACACTGTCAATCTTGGAAGGGACCACATCTTAACAGCTCTCAGCTTTCTCGTGAACATGTACGTTTGTTGTCTGTCAGTCCGTGTTTGTGAACGTGTTGGAGAAAGCTACGGATACAAATACTGTACACACAGATAATAATAGTTTAAAAAATCTGATAAAACAGCTGTTAAGGCGTCTTTGTTTAGTGATATTCATACATGAGGTACTGGGTTGTCCATGTGAGCCACTGCACAGCAATAAATACAAATATGAATCATTAAAAAAAAAAAATACAAATCAAATGTGTCTGTTCCCCAGAGAGGTAGTTTGTTATGGTTACATTTTGGACTAGGAAAAGAGACCAACATCAATTTCATATCTGTCTTTCTCATGTCTCGCAATCATCACCATCGTGCATAATGCATATCTTGCAATGGTTTAAACATGACATGTCCTGGTTTGTCTGATATTATTTTATGGTAAGTGCTGTACGGATATTCTCACTCATTCATCACAAAATCAGAACAAAACAAATAAGTGAATGATTACAAAATCGCTCAAAACTGGAAGATTGTTTTCCAGTTTAAAATCGAGTGTACACCCTCATCCCACAAAAAAAGTACTGAGCAGCTTAGTATTGAGAGAAGGCATGAAGACGAGAAAATAGACTGTCGAAAGAGAGCAGTAAGATAGGGAATATATATATATATATATATATATATATATATATATTCACCAGCACTGGGCAGGAGGTTAGCATGCAATCGTACGTCCCTATATTTGCATACATACCCACACATACCCACACACAACCATCTGCCCTGTGCCTCCACCTGTACAGATAACAGAATATCAAAACTAGTCTACAAGAAAATATTTTAATCTTTTACATTTGCAAAGTAATACTCATAGATATAGATATATATAGCAAACCTTCCATATCATTAAATCTTAAGTGCCATGACTAAGTTATTTATTAGTAATTTACTAAGGAAACAATAACCTTTTCACTCACACACAAATTACCCATCTAACCTGGGCCGAATATGTGACACTCAATCAAATATGAGTATACTTGGCGTATAGGTAAATGCTATACATTGCCCTCGCTTCAAAAAACACGCGCTTCCACAAACACACACGCGCACTGCGAGGAACCGCAGTTTCCAGGTAGTTAAATTCAGCTTACATGATCATTAAATCGTCGACCCAGTTCCGACACCAAACTCACACCTACAGACAATCTTCATTAACGATGATTAACTCTCATACCACAGAAAAGGTTTTCCTAATGACCCTGAGCCCTGACAGAAAAGTAGAAGATTCATACAAATCAGACTTGATTAAAAAAGAGATTGTGGAGAAAGTGGAGAGAACAAGATATATAAAGCAACAGAGATAGTGCTCTGTAAGTATCAGCCCTCTATTGCGACTCAGGGAGTCGACGGTCTCGCAAATATCACATTCAGCTATTATACACAGTGGAGAAAAGGACTCTTACAAACTTAAAAAGCGTATTTAAAATGAATAACTGTGAACCACTAAGGCCAAGCTAAGGCAGCTGTGTTTGGTTTAGAGGACACAATGCAGGCAGTGGCTAGAGTGATATTAACACGACGCACAAACGCATGCAAAAACGTCTATACCATGGCCGACATGGTATTAGGTGTCTGTAATTACTGTTTAGATAATAACAACCAAGCATAAGAAAAGAATGTGCTGAGTTATGCTGTAATTAGATTATGCTTTGAAGAACCTGCCTGTGCAAACAAATATCAAAAACACCCAGGTAGCGCGTACAACCCGAGTTACTGATAAATTATCCAGCATGCTGCTATTAGAGTTACCCTTAAAAAAGTGAGAACCAAACAAGTCTTATTTCTCAGTAAAGTCATTCCTACAAGTGTTTGATGCACAAAACCAAAAAACCTGTCAAGAAGATACCCGTGTCATATTTCAACCCAAAATAAAAAAAAGTAATATATATATATTTTTGCAATATTGTGAATACATTTCCAATTAATTATATTTATTTTAACTTTTTTCTGATACGATTTCATCACTGTAATGTGAGAAAAAAAGTTATTAATAGAATACAAAGAAAAAAAAGAAATATTATTTAAAATATTAAGCATGTATAGATAATTGTATATATATATATTAATTTTCATATTACAGTATTTCAAATTACATTTGGGGGGACTTTTTTCTTTTGGCTTGAAATATGAGAACCTAGAATATTTTTATTATAGCTTTGTAACTTGTGAAATGTACTATCAATTAAAAAGGAGGGGGGGGGGGGGTCATGATAAAAAGCATTCAGGATATTGAGGATTTCATGTGGAAAAACAAATGTGTTGACTAATGAAGAAGGTTAAAGCTTTGTTAGGGAAAAATGCAACTAGTTGGATTAATCTGAGAAAAAAAAATAAAAGAAAAAATTAATGATGGAATGCAAGAGCTGAGAAATAAGTAACCTATCACAACGATGTAAAGAACAGAAGTAAAGCTCTCAGTTGAAAAAAAAAAAAAAACATAATTCATGGTTCCAATTCCTGTGTGTTTGCATAAACGCACAGTTAGATTGCAGTCTTTACATATTGATTATAGCCAGCCAGGGCTGCAGGGTCTCTCTCTGCTAGATTCTACCATAAGCCACATGAAGCGCTTATATTAAACTCTATTTACACTAATCAAAAAAGGTACGAATATAGATACCAAGTCCTATTTACAGGTTAGCTGTGTGGCAAGCGCTAATGCTGCCCTAACCACTTTGCAGAGGCGTCAGATAATAGGCCAATCACAGCAGAGGCAAACATTAGAGAAGACAGCCATTGTGTAGCAACCTATCAGAGCTTTAGAGGCAGAGAAAGGGGGCGGCGCCGCCGTTTAATTGGTTAAGTGGCTAGGCGAGGAGTGAGTTGGGTGAGCTGTGTGCTTGCATTAGTATTTTTAACCCTGTGCATTTAAAGGCAGGAGGTAAAGAGACAGGACATCAGCAGTAGTGGACAGCGCTTTGGGGACCATGCAGAGGTTTAGAACAGGACCGCACACCTACGCACTCATCCTACACATGCAGTGTAATACTGTTGGCTATTGGTAATACAGTAAAATATTACTGTATTGAGTTGCCACAGTGAAAAACACCATGACCATATTACATTCTTTTAAGAATGTTCTCCTTACATACAACAAACAAGAGGAAACATCTATGGCACTCCCTTAGCCGATCTGAAAATGATGAGGGATACACACACACAAACACATACATCACTCACAAACTTCGTCCTGGAAACTCTGTATGCATTTTAAGGTGATTGTCCGTACATTCGCTCCACACCTCTTCGGGTCACGCCGTTCAACCCGCACATCTTGGATCGGACTCGGGCGAAGTAACTAGGTGACCTGTCCACCGAACACTTCCAACACCAGAGGGGTCAGCTGCATGCTGTGTTCGGGCTGGAAAGAAAGGGAGCGGTACTGCTTGGAGTGCTCTTCGTTCAGGCTACGGAGGTCCGCCAGCTTCTGGATCATCTTAGCATAGAGCAGACGGCCCCCAGGGTGATGCGCGAGGATGTACGCCTGCAGGACCTCGGATAACCTGTCCTGCAACGCTTCCACTCGCACGTGGTCCTTCACCCCGGGACGGTCTACGAGCACACAAACACAGGGAAATGAGATTCCTGTTTTTAAAAAAGTCTCAGTCTGTACAATGTTTAGTGTATTGGGAATACACTCTGACCTGGAGACAGCAGACATATACCCATCAGCAGCACATGTTCCTCCTCATGTAGGTTGAGCTTTTTTAAGCCCACCTGAAACTTCACCAGAGGCTCCAACAGCTCCAGAGTGTGTCCAGCTGCGCCCCCAAACATACACAAAATAAGGATGATTTCATAAGGCATAACCCCAGCTTTAAACATGTTTTTCAAAAATGATAATTATATTTTTAAAAATGTCCTTAGTTTGTGATGAACAGCACCCGTTGCTGTTCATCACAAATAAGGACATTTTTTAAAATATAATTATTATTTTTGAGAATCCAAATATACAATAAACAATACTTTCATAGCATTAATGATAATTTCTAATTCAATAATTAGTATAATTAATAATAACAATAAATATTAATATTAATCAATAATTTAAAACCTAAGTATGTCATAAATAAAACAAACAATACTTTTATAGTTTCATTGCATATATTGGTAACATTTATGCTAAAATCTAATATTAAAGGGTTAGATCACCCAAAACACCCAGTATTTACTCACCCTCATGTTGTTCCAAACCTCTATGTGTTCATTTGTTCTGCTGAACACTAAGGAAGATATTTGGAAGAATGTTTTAATCAAACAGATCTCATTCCCCATTGACTACCACAGTATGTATTTTTTCCTACTATGGTAGTCAATGGGGAATGAGATCTGTTTGATTAAAGCATTCTTCCAAAAATCTTCCTTTGTGTTCAGCAGAACAAATAAACACATAGAGGTTTGGAACAACACGAGGGTGAGTAAATACTGACAGAATTTGCATTTTTGGGTGAACTAACCCTGTAATTTGTACATATACATTTCAAGGCAATGTATTATGAACTGATATGAATTCATTTTCAATAATATGTTTATAAATTAACAAACCTAGATTAAAGAAAAAAAACGTTGTAAAAAATAATTTATTGTTAGTTCATGGTACCTAATGGTAATGAATTGTAAAAGAAACTCGAACTTCTTTTTGTGAAGTGTACATGCCATATTTTTTTTTTTTTAAAGATTGACATATTTTGGTATTAATCATCAATAGAAAGATTTGCATACATTTTCAAATGTGGTGTAAGTTTTTGCAGTCAGTGTAATTTTCTCCATGCATAAAACTGATTTAAAAAAAAAAAAAAAAAACATTTCACCTTTAACCTGCAATGCACTTTTAGAAATCATAAGATCAACTGCTAATGAGAAATAAAATACAATAAAACTTCCCCCTCAAAATCTATATATATATATATGTGTGTGTGTGTGTGTGTGTGTATATATGCACTTTTTTCAGTTTTCATTTTAGTAATTTTGTTGTGTGGTCTTTTCATTTTTTATTAAAATTTTTAACATTTATATTTCTACTTCTTTTCTTTCAACTTTACTACATCAACTTAAATTTATTTTATTTTAGTTGCCAAGGCAACATTTCTAATTTTCTATTCAATTTTTAAAGTTTAAGTTATCCATGTATTATCAATATATTTTGTTTCATCAATATACTTTATTTCATTTAACGATAACAACACTGCAACCGTTGCATGTCAACGCAACTGTCTATCCCTGTGAGCTTGAGTTTGTACCTTTAGTCACATCATTGACACAGTATTTAAAATCTGGTCCTCCACAGCTCCAACTCATGTCCTCTAGACTGAAAGACTGGTTAGACCTTAGCATGATCACTTCTATAGCACTGGACTTCAGCAAAGCAATCTGATCTTCAGCTGTCAGCTCTCTGAGACACACAAGAACACACACAAACACATACACGTCAAATGTTGGCTCATGCTCGATTCTGTGAATGGCAGATGTAGAGGGAGTGGGTGAATCCATCCAGTTCAGATAACATGACACTCCTATGGTTACCACAGCAACCTGCGCTCTGTAATGCATATGTATGTACGCACATTCTTAGGAAGCATGGAAATACAGTACATGGACGTGCACAGAAGGCGGCAAGAAACATGTACTGAGAGTGACGGTTTAGAAGGTCAAACCTATTTTTATGTTCCTGAGGAAATCAAAGAGACGACAGTCATGTCAACAATAACCTGTTGCGAAAACGCTGGAACTTTCCACAAACGAGCACCACTAAATGGATGAAATGAATATAGAACACCCTTTGCTCAGGGTCCACAAAAGATTTTAGTTCCAGGCCCTGTGAAATTAAGAAACAGCCCTTGCCATAAGCCAAGGGTTATTAGGGCTGTTCACCATTCAGTTGAATTGAGCAAGACAATTCAATTCTGAATTCAAACAATTCAAATTTAAATAAGAATTAAATGAGTGGAATGTAATTAAAGAAATATAGCAGCTTTCAATGTAGTTTTTAATAATATATAATAACATAATTATGTATAGATTATAAATCAAATAATACATAATTTAATAAATTCCTTCAAATGGCAATTCAGTAATTCCTCCAGCCATTTCAATTTAAAACAAACTCATGAATTTCCTTTACCTGAATCCAGGAATCATCTTAGCAAAGCCGATGACTTTTTGAATGCTGTAGGAAACCAGGTCAGCCAGGTGAGGAAGCATGGAAAGACCGGAGCCCTCATCCTCCTTTGAGTCCGGACTGGAGCTCAAACCCTGCTCATGATACCTCATCAACAGATTACTCAGATTCATCTTATGATCTCCTGACTCTACAGATGTGGAGAAAGAGATGGGGGGAGGGAGAAGAAAAAATAATTCATGCTTTGCTTCATCTCAGCAACCTTCAACAATTCATGCAATAGGTAGACTGACTGCAGTCTTACGTTAATTTGCATGAAATAAAATTAATGATTCATTTTTTTATTAATTATTCTTGTGGTGTGACATTGAAAATGTTGTTAGGGCATGTAAAAATATGAATCAATGACCCAAGGAAAAAAACTAACAAATGGACAGGCACACTATTTCAATGTCTACTTTGCTGAATAACAGAAGCGTTATCTCCCCCTTGTGTCTGTTCCAAAATCTGCCATCACCTTATATAATACAGTCGGATAACAAACAACTTCTGTTGCAAATGTTTAGTCAATTGTATGGAAATAATGTGAAAAAAAAAAAAATCAACATCACAGCAAATTTGTGCACATTTCATTTGCTGTCATTAAATTCCATTATGTATAATGACTGCACAATTATGTTGCTTTTTACCCTTGATATTGTAACTGTTTATTAATTTGGATTTCTTTGTTATTCAGATTCGTAATAAATGATGCAAAGCTTGCAATAAAATCATTAAAGACATCTTTCCTGCATGTTTCCAGAGATACACGTGACTGGTTGAGCCTGCAGCTCAACACAAGCTCACTGACTGTCAGCGTACTGTTCTGCACTCTTGCAAACGCCTTCATGACAATAAACAAAGCTGTCAACAGGCAACACAGCCGAATAACATCTCTTTCTTACATTTTCCCTATACAGTCAGCAAACAATATCAACATATATCCGAACAGCTGAAAAACAACGTTTTGATACAACACAAATAGATATAATTGTAATGCTGTCATTGATACTTTTCACAACGAATTAAAGCAGCAGCATGCAAAAATTTATGTAAATTGTATATATCAAAAGTCCTATTTAAATGTTAAAAAACAACTTGCTGCATCCAGGAAAAGCCATGTATGCGTGTTAAACCCTATGTTATGGGGACTAAAATGTCCCCACAGAGTATTTTTGAACTTGTGGGGTCATTCTTAATGTCCCGATGAGGAAATCAGCATAAATCATATTAAATTATGCTTTTTTATGTTAAAATGCCGAAAGGTTTAGGGTTAAGGAATATAATATACAGTTTATATAGTATAAAAATCATTATGTCTATGAAAAGTCCCCATAAAACCTGGAAAATGTGTGTGTGTGTGCGCGCACATGTGAATAGACTGGTTGTCATTAGAGTGGCTCTTCTGTGACGTAAGGCATGGTGAGAAGGACGGAGCCTGCTGTGCATATAAGAAACACAAACCTCTAACACACAAACACTCATGCCTGCCTGCGCCTCACACTGGGCTGAAAAACATTTCTCAGAATGAACTTTACAGGTGATTTATGCACCAACGACTGTGTGTATATATTTGTGTAGCATGTATACGCATGTGTGTGTGTGTGTGTGTTACCTGGAGAGTGGCTGAAGGAGTCTGAGGAGGCGTCTGATAGTGAATGAAGAGACGCGGCTCGGCTGGCACTACGTGTAACTGGACCCTCTCTAACTGGAGGCTGCAACACAAAACATACACATACACATATGACAGCATTGAACATTAGCAATGTATGAATGCCTAATCAACACAAAGGTGGACCATAATGAACACTTAAAAGTATGAATTTATGTCAAATGAATGTCAAAATATCAAACCTACTACATTTATTTGACACATAAACATTTGGTCAGAAAAAAAAGAAAAGGTTTGTTAGGTTTCAAATAACAAATATTGTTTGAAATTTATGTTCGAAAACTTATCTGGACACTTTCTAGGTTGTCAAATGTAAAGTGGAAAATGTTAACGTACTAAACTATGGTATCATATATACACCACAGTTTGGGGTTAGTAAGATGTTTGTTTTTTTGTTTTTTGAAATAAATCAATACTTTTATTCAGCAAGGACACGGTCAAAAGTGACTTTAAGACTTTTTAAATTGTTACAAAAATACTATTCATCAAAGAATCCTAACAAAAAAGTAGCAGAGTTTGCACAAAAATATTATGCAGCAAAACTGTTTAACAGAAAATTTTCTTGAGCAGCAAATCAGCACAGAATTATTTCCCGAGGATTGTGTGAAAGACTGTTGAAAATTATAATATTTTACTTAAAATCACTTCAACACCAGTTGGTTGAGAAAAGTTTGTTCTGAATTTATTTAACAATCCTTTGTTTGCAGAAGGCACTTGATTTGATATTTATTACTATTATTTGTTTTTTTAGGCCACTCAAGAGTACAAAAACACATTGGGGCCACCGTAAAAGAAGATATTAAAACTGGTTAAAAATAAAAGAAAAAGATATGCAGAGGAAAAGAGCATGAAAGATTTACTCTGAAACGTGAGAAGTCAGAGTAGGAATCGTCATAGGTTTTGTGATGCGCTTCCACCAGCGTGTCAATGATGTTGCGCTGCTCATCTGAGAGCCGGGGCTTCTGCGCCTCCCTCTGTGCCTCCTCATCCTTTCTCCTCTGGATCAGATCCTTTTTCCTTTGAACCTCTTCATCCGTCAGGATAACTGAAGGAAACGACAGACGAGTATCATCACTATACCCATGTACTATTGTTTTATTACAGGTAACATACATCTAAAAAATAAATGAGAAACTAAAATCAAATATTGTATGTTGTTCCCCAGTGTTCTATTATGAGCATAATGCATTATGCATCATAATTTAGTTGTTTGCTGATGATAATCAATAGCTTTAAATTCAGTCTCACAGACACTATTGAGGGGGAGAACAATTCCATATTTGTAAAAATGTATGAGAGAAAAAAAGAACTGAACCACAATATCATGAAAGAGCCCCGCCCTTCTGCATATTTTTCTCTATTTTCTACACTAAGCTGAGAATAATTATTATTATTAATTTTCAATCTCTCTGAATAAAATTTTTTTTTTTAAGTTTAACTGAATTTAAAGGATTAGTTCACTTTTAAAAAAACGTTTGCTGATAATTTACTCACACCCATGTCATCCAAGATGTCAACGTCTTTCTTTCTTCAGTCGAAAAGAAATTAAGGTTTTTGATGAAAACATTCCAGGATTTTCTCCATATAATGGACTTCAATGGGAACCAAATGGTTCAAGGTCCAAATAAGAGTTTCAGTGCAGCTTCAAAGGGCTTTAAACGACACCAGACGATGAATAAGGGTCTTATCTAGCAAAACGATCTGTCATTTAAAAAATAAAATAAAAAAGTTTAAGTTTTATAAGCACAAATGCTTGCCTTGCTCTGTTCTGTGATGCGCGTTTGTGATTCTCCTGTTTGAACTCGTTCATCGAAATAAACAAATCTTTTTTCGAGTCATGACTCAAAGGGTCCTAGATAAGACCCTTATTCATCGCCTGGTGTCGTTTAAAGCCCTTTGACGCTGCACTGAAACTCTCATTTGGACCTTGAACCGTTTGGTTCCCATTGAAGTCCATTATATGGAGAAAATCCTGAAATGTTTTCATCAAAAACCTTAATTTCTTTTCGACTGAAGAAAGAAAGATGTGGACATCTTGGATGACATGGGGGTGTGTAAATTATCAGCAAAAGTTTTTTTTTTAAAGTGAACTACCCCTTTAACATTATTCTCTGTGCCTTCCCTGATATACTCTGGAGCATCACACAATTTGAAACCATGGGGCGATGTCCTATATGAAAACATGCATTATTACCAGTTTATTTTGGGTCAAACTGTGACCTTGAGCAATATTCAGGTTTATAGCTATTATGCTTGTTTGGGTCAATAAAATTTTTTCGTCAAATATTGCTGCTTTATGACTTGTCTATTTCAAATTTATCTTATCGTTCTGTGTGTGGTGTTTGTTTAAAAAAAAGTGGCAAAATATAAGCTACACTTTCCACTGGTTCTTCAAAGCACAAGAGCAATTGAGCATTTTGAAATCCCTGAAGTACCTTTCACTTACAAAATGATTTGCAAAGAACTGCCACTCAGGATCATGTGCTCACAAATGGCAAAACTACTTCCTTATATGAAGTATCACTTTGCTAACAGCCTTGTGTAAGGGACCTTTCATCAATGAACCACCTTACTCGCTTCGGTGTGGAAAAACCTTATCAATAACTGTCCCTTCCAGCAGAGCCCTTCAAAACTGTAAAAATGACAGTTGGGACATGTTGGGACTCGCAAGGTGAAATAAAATGGAAACTATAATTAAAACACGATCTAACAAAGTGACTTGGCTCCCCGTGATCACTGTTCCAAGATGAGTCATGTTGGCTAGTAACTCACACTCTTTCATCATGCCAATATCCAGGCAACGCTTGAGTCTGCAGGCCTGGCAGTGGCGACGGTTATCTTTAGTGATGGTGCAGCTTCCATTAAAAGGACAGGTAAAACTGGCCTTCCGCTTCATACTGCGCCTAATGAACACACACATAAACTATAAATAGTCTGGCAGTATCACATTGGTTCCAGATAATACATGTTAATGTGTTTCTAAATGAACACCGGTGTAAATGTGCGAATACCAAATTGGATGAGAGAAATTGTGTGCGTGTGTACCTGAAGAAGCCTTTGCATCCCTCGCAGGTCATCGCATTGAAGTGAAAGCCAGTGGCTTTGTCTCCACACACACCACAGATCCGTGGAACATTACGGTCAAACTCATCTGGCACTTGAGTGGATGTACTAACGGCTGACTCCATCACTGTAGGAGACGAAGGAGGAGGAGAGACAGTCAGAACCATGATGGGAAGAAGAACACTGACTGTGTAATGTACACTACTGGTCAAAAGTTAAGGTTTTTATTAAAGTCTCTTCAACTCACTAAGGCTGCATTTATTTAAGAACAAAGATATTTATCAAAGATATAGTAAAACAGTTATATTGTAAAAAAAAATTATTCCAATTTAAAAGAACATAAATTTCATGTCCCCCGGATGCTGCAACACTACTGACTTCGTGATTGGTAGATGGGTGGAGGGTGGAGCATCAGACCAAAACACAACATGACAACATTAACATCAGTTGAGGGACTACTAATGTCAGTGATATAAGTATTTGAAATGAACATGATTTCTTAATATCTAGTGACATATCAGCGCCATTTTATGATTATTTGAAATCAATTTATTACATATATCTCCTTTAACAACAACCCTTTAGAAAACGTAATTCCTTTGTGGACCCTCTTGCTTTCTCCATGTTTCTTTGACTAACTTAATCAGTGTCTCACGCACTTACGCTGCACGCAAGTTAACCATGTTCGACACATTTAACTAGGGGTAGACCGATTTTTGGCATTTTTTAACATAATCGGCATCGGCCAATATCCAAGTATATCAAGCAGGCGCATCTGTGGGCAGCCTATGGTTTGTTTTCCCATTTTCCCATGTGGTGGTTGTTTTTGTCGTTCAACAGCAATTTACTAGTGAAATACGTTATTGTTAGAAGTTAAATTAAATAAAATATAATAAATCTTATATATAAAAAATTTAATCATTTAAAGTTTTTTTTTTCTCCTTTTTTGTGATAATTAGGTTGTCCATTTGTCTTTGTCTGTCAACAAACAAAACAAAAATACATGTTTCAGGACATTTTTTGAGAGGATAAAATGTTTTTTTTTTTTTTAGAAAGTTTGTCTATGTTGAGTATTTATCATTTCTTTTACATTTTATCTTTCAAATAGAGGTTAAAAACCGAGAAAATATCGGACAAAATAAATCGGCAGCATTAATCGGCCGACCCGGATTTCAAAAGATTGGTATCGGCATCGGCGTGAAAAAAACCATATCGGTCGACCTCTACATTTAACTGTGAGGGGGCCGTCCATACGGTTTTACCCGTTGTAGGCACCGCTCAAGTTGTGTTTTCGACTTTGGAAACGGAAAGAACACAACTCCTCCAGACAATTTCTCGGGGTACCTAGTGACCAATTTACCATCTTTCTTGGAGTTTGACACATGTGCTCACATAGTAACGGTTGTTATGATGTGTGATTGGACAATGTCCGGAGGGGCCGGCGAAAGATAATTGATAAACACTGAGCACCAAATCAGCATATTAGAATGATTTCTGAAGGATCATGTGACACTGAAGGCTGGAGTATTGATCGCTGAATATTCATCTTCGCCATCAGATAAATAAATTACATTTTAAAATATATAAACTTGTAATAAGATTTCACAAAATTACTGTTTTTACAGTATTGGTAGGCATGTCTTTCAAAACCATTTAGAAATCTTACTTATTCCAAAGTTTTGACTGGTAGTGTATGTACGGTAGAAAAAAAAGAAATTCTCTATTTCTTCAGCACTGACCGACAGCATAACAAAACCACAAATCATAACTGACATTCTTTAGCAAGTGTTGAATAATTAACAATCATTTAATAGAACAATCTATCACAAAGCCATGAGACCAGTATAACAAACTGAATGGGGGGGTTGGGGGGGACAGAGTTCTTTATATAAGAATCAGTAATGTATGCGCATTGTTAAACAGCGTACGAGATAGAGGGGAATATTAATTAGCTATCAGTGCTACACCACTGAGAAAGGGTTGGACCGCTCAGAGGATTGGAGTGGTTGTAAGAGACCATGCAAATGAAAACAAACAGATGTCAGCTTCAAGATCTCCATAGGAAGCTTTTTTCAAAAAAGAAAAAGAACAAGGTCAGCAAACACATAAACATGATAAAATCATTGTAACTCGATGGAACGACCATGAGAAAGAGCAGCCGTGCTGAAATGAGCCAGGTCACAGTGACACGCCAACTCAAACAGGTTAAAAAGCACCAGGTGATAAGACTATTGTCACAATAAATGTGTATATGATAACAGCAAGTGAATAACCCATTCACTGTAACAGAAAATGAAACAAGCAATGAAGATGAGATCTACGTGAAAAGGTCGCAGGCCAGGGACATCACGATTCTGTGTACAAACCGAATAAGCACAACTTATTTGGATGGAGAGTGATGTCACAGTTTCCCTTTTTCCCCTCCTTTTCGTGAGTTCTTCTGTATAAACATAAAATCTTTTAACTGGTAAATAGGCTGAAAGCTACATGTAGTGCAAGTTCCATAACAGAAATACCAGTTCTGATCTAGTATACACACGCGCACACACATGACGTGACCTCTTCAAGAGAAAGTTCTCAAATTACTCTGATGCACACCGAAAACTCACACTAATAAAAACCATTTCAAAACACTTCAGCACATAATGATGCATTTATCTAAATTGGGCTGTTTATTTATTTTTATCTTTTCAAAATGTGTGAAACATTTGCAATCCCAGTTTTTGAAGATTTAGTTGGCAGTCAGCCATAAACTTATGTGCATATTTTTGAAGGTAACCTGGAGATGAATGTGTGTTTTTTCTTGACTTTTCAAGTAATGATAATGATTGTTTTAGGTTGTCAATATTTAGACGTCTTCAAAAAGGTGGATAGAAGTAAATCATATAATAATAAATTAAATTAAAATGAATAAATAATAAATAAATAATTGTATTAATACAGTTTGTGAACTTTGAAGTACAGGTCTACTGTCAGGGAATTACCAGACTCAAAGGCAGATAGACAGTGAAAACAACATTAGGATGCGAGCACACAGGTAAGTAAACAGAAAAATAGCAGTTTGGGGAGAATAACTGGATAATAAGAGCAGCCTTTACTGTGTTGTTTTACTGCAGTCCTTGTTGTAGACCAGACCATCATTGAATATGAAGTGTGCACTCTTATAGTGCTCTAGACGGCTAGTGACTGGTGTCAGGAGCGGACGATGGCTGAATGAGTGCAGGTGAGAACCAGGAGGGATGCTGGGAAATGTAGTCTGGAGTGCAAGTGACAGAACCCCCAATCCAAGAATATAATGCTGAAAGTCTCACAGATTTTCCTTTCAAAAAAGGATGCTAATCCAAGTCTCCAAAATCATTAACTGTGTGTGTGTGTGTGCACGGTGTTTGTTTGAGATTCTGGACTGTGCACAATGCACATGCCACATCTCCACTATTCGCACTTCAGTATATGGCTCTTGTTATCAACCCACACATAGCATGAAGGAGATAAGAGACTTTCAGAAAATGTTAAATGTGTCTCAACTGGGCAGTCAGGTTAATGTTCCATCTTATGCCACATAGCGTCGTAGGAACTCCGGGAACACCTAGGATATTTTAGGTCTGGACATGTGAAGACGGCATGACTGACACTTTGACTGTGGCCTCACTATATGCATGACCGTGATGGCCTTTAAGGTAGTGCAGAGTTAATGATTGAATGGACTGAAGCATCACATAGCACTAACAAGTATGTAGGCCAAGGTGTACGAGAAAGACTGTCCCTCTTCAGAAGGATGACCTGGTTGTGAGTTTAATGGCCTGTTTATCATATAAAAGAACATGATGTACACCAGAGAAGATCAGCATCAAATAAAATGCATGAGCATTATCTTTTAATCAAAATTGAAAACAAGCTTTGACTAAAAATTGACTTTGACCTTCTCAACACAAAAAAAGAGAGCCAAGTCATTGAGGACAAACACGGATTAGCATATTCCATATTCAAATAACGTATTGCTAGTGGTAATTGTGTAACATACAGTGTACAGTAACTCTATAACTCTATATGTAACTAGGGTGATGCGTAACTATGGTTCCTTCGCAATAAATACTTCTTGTAACTGCATAATGTGGTTCGACTTTGTAACGAGTGCAACATTTAGACATAGTTAGGTCATAAATTTAAGTAAACAGAGAAAAGCGCTATAGCCCTTAAAGCAGAGGTCGAGGGGCGCCTGTATGCAGGACAGGACAGAGATGCTGTCAGGGTTTCATAAACCTTCATTAGCTATGACAACAGACAGAGACAGACTCACACGACAGGAATGCCAGGCCTGGCATAGAGACCATGTGGAAAACCCAGAAAAACATGCAACTGCACATACTACAGCTTCGTAGAAATGTTCTCACACTTGGAGCAACCCCGCAAACTGGCGCTGACAGCCATAATGCAAGGACGATCAGCAAACTCATAAAAACCATAAAAACAGACAGAGACTTTGAGACAAACTGTCCTACACATTTCCTCCGCGTGCGCGCGCAAAGGAAATGTGTGCGTATGTGTAATGCGCAGAGCCTGTTGGGTCAGTTCGGGTCCAGAACACACAGAAACTGCTGGTGTCCTCAAACGAACCTGACTGGAAACACACTGCCAGATTATAACACTGCCACACACTCACACACACAAAGTCTTTCTCTCACATACACAACACACAAAATTCCACAAGTACACCACACCACACAAATACAAACTTAGTCTCGTGCCAAGCAACACTCTATGAGGACATGGTAAAGTAATTTTTCTGTCAGATTCTTTCAGAAATTTCCATTTGCTTAAGCTAAAAACATACACATTATGTGAACATAAGTAATTGTTTAAAGTAGATGCTTAACCACAGACAGCATTTACATTAACATACCGCTCAGGAGCCGGAACAGCCGATATATTCCTTGAAATGAAAGCTGGTTTAGATTTAACTTCATGAAATGTGGTAAACTTGAGGAGAAACAAAAATTCAATCCATGTAGGCCAGGGTTCCTAAAATCCGGTCCTCGAGGGCCACTGCCTGGCAGAGTTTATTCCAACCCTAATCAAACACGCCTTGAACAAGCTAGTCAAGGTCTTCAGAGTTACTAGAAAATTGCA